AGTAAATGGGATTTTAATGAAAGAGGATATAGAGGGAAATAATGGTAGAGGCTGAAGGCAAATTTTTTTTAAGGGAATAACTGTGTTTAGCAGCAGGAAGGAGGCGGAGGAATAGCGGTCTAAGAGGTTGAGAGAAAAGAGTAATGTCATAGAAGTCATGGGACGATGAAATATCAAGAAGGAAGGGAGAGTAGAAATTTCAGTTACTGCAAAGAATCTGAGCCTGGGGTAGAGAGAGGAGGCAGAATCTGAATTTGAGAAAAGTCATTGTGACCCTCAAATGGGAGGAGTGAGAGTGAAATCAGACTGCAGAGAGTAGGTGATGAGGAAGAGAGATTTTTCAATCCAATAACCATTTTTTAAACCAGTAAATAGTATTCATTGTAGAAAATCTAGATAGTTAACAAATCTTTAGGAATCTACTATATGCCAGACATAGGGCCGGGTGCTGGGACACAAGAAGGAATAGCATGATTCTTCTTCTTTTTTTTTTTTTTTACTGAGTTAATGATAGGTTACAATCTTGTGAAATTTCAGTTGTACATTAATGTTTGTCATTCGTGTTGTAGGTGCACCACTTCACCCTTTGTGCCCACCCCCCACCCCACCTTTCCCCTGGTAGCCACTAATCTGTTTTCTTTGTCCACATTTTTAAATTCCTCATATGAGTGGAGTCATACAGAGATTATCCTTCTCTAACTGGCTATTTCACTTAACATAATTCCCTCAAGGTCCATCCATGTTATTGCAAATGGAATGATTTTGTTCTGTTTTATGGCTGAGTAGTATTCCATTGTATTATATACCACATCTTCTTTATCCATTCATCTGTTGATGGGCACTTAGGTTTCTTCCACGTCTTGGCTATTGTAAAGAATGCTGCAATGAACATTGGGGTGCATGGGACTTTTGGAATTGCTGACTTCAAGCTCTTTGGATAGATACCCAGTAGTGGAATGGCTGGATCGTATGGTAGTTCTATTTTTAATTTTTTGAGGAATCTCCATACTGTTTTCCATAGTGGCTGCACCAGTTTGCATTCCCACCAGCACTGTATGAGGGTTCCCTTCTCTCCACAACCTCTTCAACATTTGTTGCTATTAGTTTTAGATATTTTTGTCATTCTAATGGGTGTAAGGTGATATCTTAGTGTAGTTTTGCTTTAATAGCATGATTCTTCTGTTCAAGAAGATTACAGTGAGGGAGAGAGAGAGACATATAATTAAAAATTCACCATTCCTCAATTCCTTCGTGTCTTCACTTCCCTCCTTCTCTGCTTAGAGTCCATGATCCCTTATTAAAATTACCCTTGTGAATATCTCCTCAACAAACTTGCTCCTCTGCCTCTCCATTGTAGTCCCCTAACTGTTCCAGCACTGGTTAAATTCAACTCTCCATCTATTCCTTGCCTATACCTGGGCAGCTGGACGTGGAGAAAAATACATCGTGCTGACTGGTCTCACATTAAGTTTGTGACTCCTGATCTTAAGTGGGCCTTTAGTACTGCCCAGCTGAATTTTTGCATTTCTGCAGTCCATTTGCTCTCCTACTTTCCTAGATGACAATTTCATATGTTCTTTTTTTCCTCTTCAAATCAACAACCCATCTCCCCCCACCCCTTTTCCTTTTTTTTTGAGGAAGATTAGCCCTGAGCTAACATCTTCCGCCAATCCTCCTCTCTTTGCTGAGGAAGACTGGCCTTGAGCCCACATCCATGCCCATCTTCCTCCACCCTATATCCGGGACACCCACTACAGCATGGCTTGCCAAGCGGTGCCATGTCCGCACCCTGGATCCGAACTGGCAGACCCCGGGCCACCAAAGCGGAACGTGTGCACCTAACTGCTGTGCCACCAGGCTGGCCCCCATCTTCCCCCTTTTAACTAAAGAGGTTGCTTCCTGTTTCACTAAGAACATGGAAGCAGTCAGTAGAGATCCAACTCCCTCATGCTCCTATTACCACAGCTGCCAAACATATTTGTGTCAGAATGTGAATACTCTACCTTTTTCTCGTTCCAGTGGATGACTGTTTATGTCCACGTCCAGCATCCACCTCTCTACTTGTGGGCTGGATCCCATCCCATTGCATCCCTCTAATCTGCTCAAGGACATCACCGAGGAATTATCTTGTCCTTTCTTTTGGATCAACAGTTTTTGTTTCTCTACTGAGCCATTAGCATCAGCATATAAATAAGCTATACTGTCTCCCACTTAAGAATAATAAAAAAAATCCCCTTGATGCTATATCTCTTTCCCACTACTCTTCTGTTTCTCTGCTCCCATTTACAGCAGTATTCCTCAAGACAGTTGTCTATAGGCCTTTCTTCTTCCCCTTCTTTTATTCTCTTTAATCCATCCGAGTTAGGCTTTCATCCTAATCATTCCACTGAAACCATTTTGTCAAGATCACTTAGTGGTCTCTACTTTGCCAAGCCCCAAGATCATTTACCCAATTGATCATTTTCTCTTTGTTGCGCTGCTTTTTTAAAAATTGGTTTTTAGGATACCATGCTGTTAGTTCTCCTTTTACTTCATTAGTTGCTCTCTGTTGGTTTCCTCCGCTGGTTCTTCCTCATTTCCCTGACTGCTGAACATTTGTGTACTCCAGGGCTTAGACATTAGGCCTCTTCTCTTGTTCAGCTATGCTCATCTTCAAATAACATCTACAGGCTGACAACTCCTGATTGTATACTTCTAGCCCAGACCTTTCTTCTGAACTTTAGACTCTTCACGTAGGCAGCTTGATCATCTGCTCTTGGATGTTCACTAGTCATCTCAAACATAACATGTCTAAAACCAAAATTTTTTTTCCCTTTAAACATGTTCTTTCTGTGTAACCTTCTTCATTTCAATAAATAACAATTCCATTCTTCTAATTGCGTAAGATAAAAACCTTGAAATCATCTTTATCTTGTCTCTTTCGTTCATATCCATATCCAGGCCATCAGGACGTCCTGTCAGCTTTCTCTTCAAAATATATTCAGAATCTCAGCATTTCTCAGTATCTCCACTGCTACTACCCTTGTCCAAGACACCTCATCCCTTGCCTAGATTATTTTAATAGTCTCCCAGCTGGTCTTTCTGCTTCTACCCCTGCCAACTTTGAATGGTCTCTTCTTACCCTAGCAGCTAGAATGAGCCTTTTAAAACACAAGACAGGTGATATCATTCTGCTCAAAACCTTCTCATTTCTCCCTGTCTTACTCAGCAGAAGCCAAAGCTCTTACAATGGGCTACAGGCTGTTGCATGATCTAAGCTTCTTTTACGTCTTCTATTTCCTCTCCTACTGCTCTCCCTTTTGCTCATTCAGCCTCAGCATCACTGGCCTCCTTGCTGTTCCTTGAAATGTCAAGGATGCTTCTACCTCAGGGGCTTTGTACTTGCTGTTCCCTCTGCCTGGAAAACTTTTACCCCAGATAGCTACTGTGCTGACCCCCTCACTTCGTTTAGGACTGCTTACATGTCACCTGAACAGAGTGGTTTTTGCTGTGTAACATATATAAAATAGCAATCCCTCAGCCCCTAGAACTCTCTCTTCCCTTTTCTCTGCTTTATTTTTTCCCATAGGACTTATTACCATTTGATATATATATAGTTGTTTATTTTTTTGTTCTACTTTGATGAGAAATTCTTTATCTTCATTATAAACTTAAAGATGGAGATAATGTTCCTCATTCTCCTAAACTGGAAGTTCCATAAGAGCATGAACTCTTGTATCTGGCTTGTTTATCGTGATATCCATTGTGCCTCCTACAGTTTCTGGCACATAGTAGATGTTCCATAAATTTTTTTGAATGAATGAGTGCCTTTTAACTTTTCTCTAGCAGAGAGACCAGCTTGCATTTATTATGAGTATATGTGTGGGTGTACATACACATAGTATAGTAACTACATATGATTAGCTGGTCCTTCTAATTTACATTTTATAGGAATACTTCTTCATCCATCTAAATACTGACTTTCTAAGCATTATTTAGTTTAAATCAACCCATAGATTGAAACCTATTGTGTTTGACCTTTCACAAATCCCAGTGCCTCATTTATCATGTGTAATAGCATGGCATCAAGCAATGTAGAGGCATATTTTTTCCCCCATTAAGTCTGCATGCTGCTATAGGAAGAGTTGAGTGTGTGTGGTGCAGAGTTTTGCTATGATACGATGAATCAACCTGCTGTGGTTTTAGATTATACCTTATGGGACTTGCAAAACATTGCCATTTAAAATTATTTTTTAAGGGATTATTGGATATGACTCAGTAAATGAAAGTGGTCTGAACCATTCAAGTGTCCAATTACACCCACCTGATATAAATGGCTCTTCAAAAGCTATATTTTGTAAAACAGCTGAATGATGGTTGAATCATTTACACTTTGCGATGGCCTAAGTAAATAGTTATTTCCAAGAATTATAAGCAAATATAAAAGCAAAATAATGTAAAGTGCCAGATTAATTACTCAGTTATAAATCATTCAAGGAGCTTAACTGTGTGCATTAACAATAAAACCTTGAGTGTGTTGGTGATTGTGTGACAAATGTTTATCATCCTTCATCATATAGAGGGGCTTCTGCGTTCCTCCACAGGCACACAACCACGCATCTGTAGGTTCTAAAGAGATTGTCTCTGTTCTTCCTGAAAAAATATTGTTAGAATTTAAGTTAGAAAATTCATTCCAAAATAAACAAAAGATACAATTTACTTCCGTTTTATTTTTCTTAAGTGATTATTTTTGCTAAATTTGTTGATACTGAATGCTGCATAGGTATGTTGACCTTTAGGAACCAAGACATTTTATAGACAAAAGAAATACTTGTAAAAATAATAGATAATATATACTTTTACACATATAATTATATATGCCTTTTCACACGTTCCAGTCTCATTAACATAGTAAAACATGTTTATTATGTGATCCAAACTTCTGTATCTCCGTATGAAGGTAGCACTTCAATAGAATTTTGGGGAAAAAAATTCTACAGTTGTTGTCTTGTTGTTCACAGGAAGGGAGGCAATAATAAGTTAATAAAGATCTATCATCGAGATGGTAAATATGGCTTTTCTGATCCTCTGACCTTTAATTCTGTGGTGGAGCTCATTAACCACTATCATCACGAATCTCTGGCTCAGTACAATCCCAAACTTGATGTGAAGCTGACGTACCCGGTGTCCAGGTACCAACAGGTATGATTATAGACGTTTTCGATAGCTAGTAAGGAAGTCATTACTTAACAACAGCATTTGATTCTAATTTACCAGGCTTATCACTTAAAAAACCCCAGAAATTTAGTCATTTCAAATTTCCTACTTAAGATTTATGATATTTTTGGAACTTATTTTGTGGCTACTATTCCTTAATACCTTGTTGGATGTATTTATTAACTTCATATAAAAATACTTCTGTTTATGTTTCCTGTTTATAGTTCATTTCTTAATTTTTAAAGTATTATCTATTTTGATGTGATCTAAAGGCTGATCTTAGTGTTAAAGGATTTAGTGCTTTTTCATGCTTAATATTAATTCAGTAGCTTAAACTTCCTGTGGAAATGCAATTTAAAAATAAATAGATGTGGAGAACAGCACTTTGTGTGTAAGAGACCACTCTAGTTCTTTGCAATAGCATTTTATGATATTCCTGGGGGCTTATTTGGAAAATAAGGATGTCACTTTTTTGGTTTTCCCTTGAGAGAACTTACATCTTAAGAACATAATATCATGATTAGGGTGGCGAGGGAGGCAGGGGAAGTCATTTTTCTTTGTAGATAAAAAGCATTCTGTATGATTGTTGTATAATAAATTGATTTTTACACATTAAAAAAATAAATAAATAGATGTGGAAAAATTCATGTGTCAGAATTGTTAACATTCTCTGTTTCTTCTGTTTACTTGTATAGGATCAGTTGGTAAAAGAAGATAACATTGATGCAGTAGGTAAAAAACTGCAAGAGTACCACTCTCAGTATCAGGAAAAGAGTAAAGAGTATGACAGGCTATATGAAGAATATACCAGAACATCCCAGGTTAGTATATTTTAGTTGTTTAGGCCAATAAGTATGCAATGTGACAGTTACATCAGATTTCTTATAATTCACCTGACAATCTTTAGCTGTCTTAGTATCTTAAACAGCCTTTTTGAAACTTTGATGATATAAATTCCTCTCCCATTCATAAATCTTTTTTTTTTCTTCCCAAACCCCCAGTACATAGTTGTATATCCTAGTTGTAGGTCATTCTAGTTCTTCTCTGTGGGATGCTGCCACAGCATGGCTTGATGAGTGGTGTGCAGGATCCCAATTGGTGAACCCTGGGCCACTGAAGCAGAGCATGTGAACTTAGCTGCTTGGCTACGGGGCCAGCCCCTCATAAATCATTTTTTTATTGGTTAATGATATAATTTATATCACCTACTATTGACTAGGATAAGGTATGACTGCAAGTGACAAAAAATAGCAAAATAACAAAGTCTTCAGAGAGAAATTTTTCTTTCGTGTATAGGCAGTGCCAGGGGTGTTAGGGCAACTCCACAGTCATTAGGGCCTAGGGGTTCTCCTGTCCTGATGCTTTGCTATCTGTGGAAGTTGGCTCACTCCAGTATCAGCCATTACAACCATATTCCAGCAAACAGGAATGAAGAATAGGAAGGAGAAAGGACCATTCTCTGTTTTTAAGGCTGCTTCCTAGAAGAAGCCTACACTGCTTCCACTTTCATCCCACTGGCTAGACATAGCTGCAGACCACCACCAGTTGTAGGGGAGGCTGAGAAAGCTAGTTTTTATTTGGTTAGGTGTGCTGAACTAACATTTGGGAGTTTACATACTGAGGCAAAGAGAGCTAATGGAAATTGTGGGGTCACTAGTAGTCTCAGCTACACAGTTTTTAGATCATAAACCTTAATAATCAATAATACTTGTTTTATCGCATTTATGATGTAGAGCAAAATTCTGAAGAATAATCTAGTTCTTTTCGTAGAACTGTTTTTTTCTAGTTCTTTTCCCAGAAGTACTTTGATTCTTTTTTAGTTACGCTTGGATTGGTTTAATTTGCCCTGAGTTGTTATATGGTATATAAAGGGTGCTGAGAATTTTTATGAAGGGAAGTTTGTTGCAATATTTGGGTCAATAGTGGCCTAAAAATATATATTTCACTAGGGTTATGCATATACTTTTGAAACACAGGTCATTTTGAACATCAAATGATTTATAGAAGCATTTGTCTATATTGATTAGTCCATTTTGTATTAGCATTAGTCCATTCTACTAAATTCAAAGTTAATTCTTGGTGCAACAATAACTTACCTGAGTCCTTTCTAGGAGATAATGATAATGGATTTTTTCTTGTGTTTGTTTTCTATTTCCTAGATTTCTGCTTTTATCTTTATTATTTCCTTTCTTCTGCTTTCTTTCAGTTTAATTTGCTCTTCTTTTTCTAGCTTCTTAATGTGGAAATTTTGTTCATTGGTTTTAAAACTTTCTTATTTTCTAATATAAGCATTTAAAGCTTATAATAAATTTCCCTCTAAGCCCTGTTATAGGTGCATCCTATAAATTTTGTTATACTGTTATTTTCATTTTTCAGTTTTAAATATTTTCTAATTTCCCTTGTGGTTTTTTCTTTGGCCTTTGTATTCTTTAATTTCTAAATATTTGGAGATTTTATAGATATTATTTTATTTGTTTCTAATTTAATTTGTTCTACTCAGTGAACATACTCATTAAGGTTACAGTCCTTTGAGATTTATTGACTTATGACCTAGCACATGCCTTATTTTGGTAAACTTCCCATGTGTACTGACAAAGACTAGTATAGTTGTTGGTATAGTACTCTGTAAATATCAGTTAGGCCAAGGTGATTGATAGTGTCATTCAGATATTCTATATCTTTACTGATTTTTTTTTTGCTAGTTGTTCTGTCAGTTATTGGGAGAGAATCTTAAAGTCTCCAATTACATTTGAGGATTTGTCTACTGCTCTCTTTAGTTCTCTTAACTTTTGCTTTTTGTATATTAAAAGTCTATTAAGTGCTTACACATTTATGTAAGTTTACCCCTTTATCAATATGTAATATTCCTCTTTATATCTGGTAATCCTCCTGGTCTTGAAGTCTGTTTTTTCTGATACATCCCCACTAGCTTTCATATACTTGCTATATGCATGATATATCTTTCTCTGTCCTTTTACTTTCAATCTGTTTGTGCCTTTATATTTAAATTGCATCTCTTATAGATAATATGTAGCTGGGTCTGGCTTTTTTAAAAATCCAGCCTAACAATCTCTGCCTTTTAACTGGAGTGTGTAATCCATTTCTATTTCTTGTAATTGTTGATGTGGTTGGGTTTATGTTCACTTTTTTGTCATTTGCCCCATCTGTTTTTCGTTCCTCCACAACTCTTTTACTATCTTCTTTAGGTCAGACAGTTTTTGGTATTCCATTTTGATTCCTCATCTGGCTTTTTAAGGGCTCTTTTTTTTTTTTTTTTCAGGTAGTTGCTCTAAGGATTACAACATGCATTTTTAATTCATTACAGTTAAGTTCATATTGTACTATGTATCCTGTAAATTTAGTAACTTTACAACTACATAATTCCATTTCCACCTCTCATTGTTGTCATATATTTTGTATCTACATATGTTAACCCCATAATTCAATGTTATAATATTTGTACTAAGCATTCGTTATCTTTAGAATAATTTTAGAGAAGGAAAAAAAAGAATCTTTTGTATTTACTCATATATTTACCATTTCTGGTATTCTTCATTCTTTCCTATAAATCTGGGCTTTCCTCTGGTGTCATTTCCCTTTAGCCTGAAGAACAGTATAATACTTCTTGTAGAGCAGGTCATTTGGCAGCAAATACTCTCAGCTTTCATTGACCTGGTACTGTGATCTATGTATTTTGCATTCATATAAAATTTTTTTATTAATAAAATTTTTTGTCTTGTGGTAAAGTATACATGACAAAATATTTGTCATTTTAGCCCTTCACAAGCATACAATTCAGTGACATTAAATACATTCACAATGTTGTATAACCACCACCACTGTATACCCAAAACTTTTTCATCATCCCCAACAAAAACTCTTTACCCATTAAACAATAACTCCCCCTTCTCCATCTCCCCAGCCCCTGGTAACGTTGTTACCTCAACTAACCTCTACTTTCTGACTCTCTAAATTTGCCTATTCTAGGTACCTTATACACGTGGAATCATAAAATATTTGTCCTTGTCTGGCTTATTTCACTAATTATGTTTTCAAGGCAAATCCATGTTGTAGTATATATCAAAATTTTATTCCTTTTTATAGCTGAATAACATTCCAGTGTATGTATATACCACATTTTGTTTCTCCATCTGTTGTTGGACATTTGGATCATTTCCAATTTTTGGCTATTGTGAATAATGTTACTTTGAACATTGATGTACAGATTATCTGTTCGAGTCTCTGCTTTCATTTCTTTTAGATATATACCTAGGAATGGAATTGCTAGATCATATAGTTCTATTGTTAACCTTTGGAGAAACTGCCAAACTGTTTTCCACACTGGCTAAGCTATTTTACATTCTGACCAGCAGTGCATGAAGCTTCCAGTTTTTCCGCATCCTCAAATCCTTGTTATTTTCTGTTTTTGTAATTTTGAAATTTCTTTATAGCCATGATAGCAGTTTTGAAGTAATATCTCATTGTTTTTGTTATTGTTGAGTTTTAGGAGTTTTTTAAAAACAATATAGTCTATGTATGAATCCCTTATCATATTTATGATTTTTAGATATTTTTCCCCTTCTGTTGGTTGTCTTTTTGCTTTCTTGATAGTATTCTTTGGTGCACAAATGTTCTTAATTTTGATGAAGTCCAATTTGTCTATTTTTCCTATTACCTATGCTTTTGGTATCATATTCATGAAATTTTTGTCAAATCCAATGTCATAAAGATTTTCTTCTAAAAGTTGATTGTTTTAACTCTTAAATTTAGGGTTTTGATTCATTTTGATGTAAGGGCCAACTTTATTCTTTCCATGTGAAAATCCATTTTCCCTGCTTTGTGGTCCCAACACCATTTCCCCATTGAATGGTCTTGGGACATTTGCTGAAAATCCATTGACCACAGGTGTGAGGATTTATTTTTGGACTCTGTGTTGTCTCCCATTGGTCTGTGTGTCTATCCTTATGTCAGTACCATGCTGTTTTGATTTCTATAGCTTCATAATAAGCTTTGACATCAGGAAGTGTGAGTCTTCCAACTTTGTTTTTTGTCAAAATTGTTTTGGCTATTCTGGATTCCTTTCCATTCTATGTGAATTGGAGGATTGGTTTTTCCATTTCTGTGAAAAACGCAGTTGGGATTTTGATAAAGACTGCATTGGATTTGTAGATCACTTTGTGTAGTGTTGTCATCTTAACAGTGTGAAGTCTTCCAATCCACGAAGACAGGATGTCTTTCCATTGATTTCTGACTTTAATTTCTTTCAGTGTTGTTTTGTAGTTTTCAGTGTAAGTGTTTTCCACCTCCTTGGTTAAATTTATTCATAAGTATCTTATTCTTTGTGATACTGTTGTAAATGGAATTGTTTCCTTAATTTCCTTTTTGGATTGTTCATTCCTAGTATATAGACTACAACTGATTTTGTGTATATAGATTTTTGTATTCTGCAACTTTGCTGAATTTATTAGCTGTAACAGTTTTTTTGGATTCTTTAGGGTTTTGTACGTGTAAGATCGTGTCATTTGAGATAGTTTTTCTTCGGGGCCGGCCCGGTGGTGCAGCGGTTAAGTACCCATTTTCCGCTTCAGTGGCCTGGGGTTCGCTGGTTCAGATCCCGGGTGTGGACATGGCACTGCTTGGCAAGCCATGCTGTGACAGGCATCCCACATATAAAGTAGAGGAAGATGGGCACAGATGTTAGCTCAGGGCCAGTCTGTCTCAGCAAAAAGAGGAGGATTGGCAGCAGTTAGCTCAGGGCTAATCTTCCTCAAAAAAAAAAAAAAAAAAAGAAAGAAAGAAAAAGAGAGAGTTTTTCTTCTTT